TGTTACAACAGAGTTCAATAAAATCCAGAAGATTACTAGTGAAAACTGAAAATTTTTATTCTCCAAAGAATGGAAACTCTAGAAGAAATAAATAGCAAGATATATATGACCTACCTAAATTAAACCAAGAGGCTATAGACAGATTAAACAGATTGACAACAAACAACAAAGCTAAAGCAGCAGCAAAAGTCTCCCAACAAAAGAAAGTCTGGGAATAGACGAATTCACGCTAAATTCTACCAAACCTTTAAAATAAGCACTGAAGCCCTTGTTCCTTAAACTGTTCCACAAAGTAGAAATAGAAGAAACACTACCAAACTCATTCTACTAAGCCAGCAGTACCCTGATACCAAAATTGGACAAATATTGAATCTCTCTCTCTCTCTCTCTCTCTCTCTCTCTCTCACACACACACACACACACACACACACACACACACCCCAAACAAAATCCAAAGCAAAACAAAACAAAAACCCTATCAAACTACAGACCAATTTCTCTGAATATGGATATAAACTTCTTTTATTTTTATTAATTTTCTTACTGAATTTTTGTGCATTTCATATAATACATGTTGATCATATTCAGACCCCCTCCCCTATCTATGCCCCTTACAGTCTCTCCTGCCAGATTTCATGCATTCTGTCATATATGTTAAGGCATACTGAGTCAAGTTTGTGTCCCCCAGATAGCCCTTGGTGTGAGTTCATCCACTGGAGCCTGGTCAGCCTATCTAGAATCAATCCCTTAAAGAATATCAATTCTCTGTCACCTAGCAGTCATTTGTTGCAAATAGTTCTTCAGCACAGGAAATAGTCCTAAGAATTGATAAATGAGATTACATGAGATTAAAAAGTTTTTCACAGCAAAGGAAACAATTACAAAGGGAGAGTTTATGGAATAGGAAAAAGACTTTGCCAATCGTATATATGATGAGGGATTAAAATCTAGAACGTATAAAGAACTGTAAATAGATCACAAAACCCACAAGTCAGCCAATAAATAAATGGGCAAATGAATGGAGTAGATAGTTCTCAAAAGAAATACAAATGGCCAATAAATATTTGAGAAAGTGTTCAGCATTCTTTACCATCTGGGAAGTGAAATTAAAACTGCTTGTGATTCCCTCTCATGTGAGAGGGAATGGCTAACATCAGGACAGCAAATGCTGGTAAGGATGTGGAGAAAGAGGGAATCCTTATTCACTGCTGGTGAGAATGTAAACTGAAGCTCTTACGAAAATCAGTAATGGAGGATTCTCAAAAAAAATAGCACATGACCCGACTATACCACTCCTGGAGGAAGGATTCTGTCCATATACCAAAGGAATACTTTGCACATCCCTGT